GGAATCTTGTTTCGAGAGATCCAAGATGGCTGCTCGGGTAGACATCTAACCGCGGCAGCACACAACAATTTCAATGGAATACAATTAAAATGTAGAGTGGACATTGCCCAGAGCTACAGGTAGTCGACTGACTGAAAATTCTACAACAAGAAGGAAAGAGAAAACCAGAAGGAAAATCAGAGGAGCTGAAAAAAAGCCTAAGGTACGGAGACATGCTGCGCGCCCGCCCGCACGCGCACACAGAGAGGTCGCAGCCGGAGAGGAGGAAAGGGCTGAGTGCTGCCTGGCGTTCCATAGCAGGAAGGAAATAAAACCCCCAGCCTGGGCTGAACCCCCGAACCGGCAGCGCTGAGCCCCAGTTATGGGCCAGACCCTGGGGACCCAGGCTCCGGCAGGGGGAGACGGGGCTGTGAGGCTGAATCCCAGAAGAGCAGCGAAAAGCAGGGCCCCCGGAGTCGCGCGCAATGCTCACGCAGAGGACTGAATGTTGACTCTGATGCTGGATTACCCTAGCCGGAAGAAACAAGGCCTCCGGCAGCGCTGAGCCTCAGTCCAGACTGCTCCAAACCCCAGTTCTGGGCCAATCCCTGGGGACCCAGACTCAGGCAGAGGGAGACGGGGCTGTGAGGTGGAGTCTGGGGAGAGTGGCGAAAGGCCGGGCCTCTGGACTTGCGTACACTGCGCGCAGAGGACAGTCTGTTGACTCTGATGCTGGACTCCCCTAGCGGGAAGGAGAAAAAAAGCTCCGGGCTGGGGGAACGCGGTGGGGAGCGGGAGCCCCTGCCGGACGCCAGCCAACCGGGCACTAGCAAGGAGGCGGGCCCCGGGGCCCCTGGGGGCGTGGGTGCCCCTGAGCCTTCCACCGCTGAGCGCGGGCAATGGAGCCAAGGCCAGGGGCTGCTTCCTGGGCGGCGCCGTCCCCAGCAACAGGCTGAAGCAGCACAGGAGCCCGTGGAGAACAAAGGGGTGCTATAGGCCAACCTGCTGAGCTCCCAGGACAAGGAGGAAGAAACCAAAGAAGTTCTCAATGTGAAGAAATCAAGTGAGAGCAAAAGATAGTAAAATTACTTAAGAAAGAATACAAAGAAGTTCTTGAAAAATCAAAGACTAAGTCAGAACTCAACTCAACAGCCAACATTGCAACATAAATGCGTTTAAAAAAAGAAAAAAAGAAAAAAAAAGGATAGAATGTTGGAACAGCGGCAGCCAGGCCTATAGTGGCCAGGCACAAGGCAGTGGCAGCCAGGTCCGAAGCAGCAACGGCCAGGCCCCAGAGCAGCAGCAGCCAGAACCAGAGCATCAACAGCCAGCACTGGAGCAGCCAGACCTGGGGCAGTGGCAGCCAGGCCTGAGGCAGAGGCGGCCAAGCCCAGGGTGGCCAGTCCAGGAACACCCAGACCCGGAGTGGCCGGACCCAGAGAAGCCAGGCCCAGAGCAGCCGGGGTGGGAGCAGCCAGACCCAGAACAGCAGTAGCCAAGCCCAGAGCATCCAGGTCAGGAGTGGCCAGGCTCGGAGTGGCCAGGCCCGGAGCAGCGGCTGCCAGGCTGGGAACAGCCAGGCCCGGGGGAGCAGCCGGGTCGGGTGCGGCCAGGCCCGGAGCAGCGGCTGCCAGGCTGGGAGCGGCCAGGCCCAGGGGAGCAGCCGGGTCGGGTGCGGCCAGGCCCGGAGCAGCGGCTGCCAGGCTGGGAGCGGCCAGGCTCGGAGCAGCGGCTGCCAGGCTGGGAGCGGCCAGGCCCGGAGCAGCAGCAGCCAAGTCCAGAGCAACTAGGTCGGGAGTGGCAGTGACCAGACCCGGAGCTGCTGGTTGTGGAACAAACCAGAGCGACAGAGGCCAGGCCCTGAGCAGCCAGGCCCGGAACAGTTCGCTCCTCACCTGCCCCTGCCCCTGCCCCACCGGCTGCCTCTCAGACATGGCTGGAAACTTTCGTGGGAACTTGAGGGTCTGCTGAATCAAGTGATGAAGGCTTAGATCTGGATGTGTTTAGTTAGTATAGGGATGGGGTGTTGATCTGTGAGTGCCTTGGGTGGAGCCTGGATGAGGCTAGTTGACCTATTGGGAAATGTCTTTTGTGTGAAGTGTATCATTGGGCATGTGGAGGTATTATTGATATGAGAAAATGCTAAGTAACTGATTTACTATCTGAAAAGGGATTTACTATCGGGGAAAGGGAGGGAAGAAGAGACTGAACATAAACTGTGCACCTATGGATGAGGACAATGGGGGATGGGGAGGGTGTGGAGGATGGGGTGGGAACCTAGTGGAGGGGGGAAGAAATGAGAAACCTTTGTAATAATATAAACAATAAAGATTGATTTAAAAAAATAAAATAAAGGAATCTTGTTTCTATTATTTCTTTTTATTTAAATTTTTTAAAATTGATTTTAAGAGAAACATCGATTGGTTGCCTCCCGTATGTGCCTAACCAGGGATTGAACGCACAACCTAGGCATACGCCCTGACTAGGAATTGACCCAAAACCTTTTGGTGCTGGGGATGATGCTTAACGCAACTACACCAACCAGGGCTTGTTCCTGTTTGAATGTTTTTTAACAGCACAAAAACCCTCTGAAACTTATTTTTTTTTAATTTATTATCTGTGTATATATCTTACCATTGTCCCCCACCGCCATACATACCCTCCCTCTTTCTAAAACTTATTTTTATTTATTTATTTATTTTTAATATATATTTTATTGATTTTGTACAGAGAGCAAGGGAGAGAGTTAGAAACATTGATGAGAGTCATCGATCAGCTGCCTCCTGCACACCCCCTACCGGGGATATGCCCGCAACTAAGGTACATGCCCTTAACTGGAATCGAACCCGGGACCCTTCAGTTCCCAAGCCGATGCTCTATCCATTGAGCCAAACCGGTTTCGGCCTGAAATTTTTAAAAGACTGGTTTTTCACATAGTAAATTTTCTTAGTCACATACAGATATCATTTAACACTGGCTTTGGGAATGTTTGAATTTTATCATCTCTGATAAATTCATTTAGAAGGCATCTAAAGCTTCAAGTATAACCAGATATGCAAATTGAGTATAAGCTCTATCAAATACAGTGAGCCTCCAGAAGCGTTTAGTAAATTAACGGGTTCCTGTGGTAATTTATGGTATGAATTAAGAGATGTACAAAGTATATCCTCCTGACTTCTGAGGATCAAGCCAAAGACGATCACATCCACTCTTCCCTTTGTTGGACACATCCCAATGTAACAAAGGCAAAGACATGGTGTGGGAGAGTTCTTAACAGCTGTACCCTGACAAACTAGCAAGGTGCATCTCATGTAATTTTTTAAAAATATATATTTTATTGATTTTCCACAGAGAGGAAGGGAGAGGGATGGAGAGTCATAAACGTCAATGAGAGAGAATCATCAACCAGCTGACTCCTGCACACCTCCTGTGGGATGTGCCCGTAACCAATGTACATGCCCTTGACCGGAATCGAACCTCTGTCCAGTGAGCCAAACTGGTTCTGGCATCTCAAGTAATTTGTTACTGATTAACATTAAATTTTATTAAAACTTGTGGATAATTATTTTTTAAATTAAAAGTTTCAGGTTCCCTATTTGACTACTCATATTAACGGACAGAACCCTGGGCATACTCACAGGGTTATGAAACGTGAACATTATCCATGTGCATCACAGAAGACAGAGGGCTAGAAAGCTGCTCTGTGAAACTGATTTGATTGGATACAGCATTTCTTATCAATGATAAGAGAAGAAATTAACACCAGATTTTGAGTTCAGTTGTCGTCTAATTTCAGGGTACTTGCTCTAAGCTACATCCTGTGTTAGATTTCATAGGAATCATGGTATAAGAAAGCTTTGTTGAATACATTCATTCTGTGTGTAAGGTAATAAGAGGGGGGGGGGGGAGACAAAATAGAAGCTAGTTCACAGCTATATCAGGTCACATTAACTTTTGGAAACAGCGAATACTAGATCCATTTTGTCACTCAGTTTATAACTTCAGAACCTGTGGTCTCTCCGGGTCTTTTCTTCACATGTAAAACGGGGAGAGGTGGACTGGATGACCTTCAGAGTCCCTTTAGATCCTCAAACGCTTAATTTAAGAAGTCTCTGAGATATTTATTCAGGTTCTCTCTGAGGCTTTCCTGAGACAGAAATGTTCCATTTCAAACCTAAGACAGCCACATCTCAGAATCAGGTATTTAAAAAGCTCCGCAAAGGAGGTGTCCTTTGTTTTCATCATATGCCCCAGAACAAAATCTCTATATAAAGTGAGGACAGACGTATAGGCTAGATTGACAATAGCTAACGATGAAGATGAAAAGGATATACTTTAGTGTTGCTATTGGCATCAAATCTAAAAACATAGGCCATCAAATAAGGCCTTTCATTAAATAACATTCCTTACCTAATTTCTCCCTATCTGAAAAAGCCCTTACTTTTCAGCTGGGTTGATCACATCCATTTTCCCCTTCCTGAATGCTCTTGATCCCTCAGTCTGGAAGGGCAGGGAGGAAAGAATAATGCATGTCCATTATTTCCTTGGAGACCAAAGTGTTTTACTTCATGTTTCATCAGAATGAGCACTTGTAATTTCTAGAATCCTATACACCACATACTTACTATGTTCTTTTGCTTATTCACAAAGAGTGTTCTCTTTTCTCCACAATTAAGCTTGAAACACGTTTGAGTAGGCGCAGAATAAATGTGTATCTAGTCTGTGAGTGCAGCAGGGATCTCAGATGGCGAAAGAATGAGAGCTTCAGGCTCCTCCCACCTTCATGCCATACCATTCCCAAAGCTCTTCCTACCCTTCGCTTTTATTTCCTGTCTGAACCCCCTATCTTCAAACCTAATTCTAAGGACCAATTCTGGACATGAAAAGACAACACAGTTCATCCTTTTACTTTCATATTTTTTCAGTTCATTTCAGTATAAACATAATATAAATGGCATTGCCACCTTTTCCCCTCCTGGGGGTGATCCATCAAGCTTGTCCGTCGGGGCCGCTCCAGTGGTTCACAGCTCATCATGCGGTACACGCAGGGCATGGTCACACAGATCTGCAAGCAGCACATAACAGTTGGAAAGAAAATGCCACCCTTACAGTGATATATTCCACTATTAAGAAAATACCCCCACCCGGGGGAGCAGCCGGGTCGGGTGCGGCCAGGCCCGGAGCAGCGGCTGCCAGGCTGAGAGCGGCCAGGCCCGGGGGAGCAGGCGGGTCGGGTGCGGCCAGGCCCGGAGCAGCAGCAGCCAAGTCCAGAGCAACTAGGTCGGGAGCGGCAGGGACCAGACCCGGAGCAGCTGGTTGTGGAATGAACCAGAGCAACAGAGGCCAGGCCCTGAGCAGCCAGGCCCGGAACAGCTCGCTCCTCGCCTGCCCCTACCCCACGGCTGCCTCTCAGACATGGCTGGAAACTTTCGTGGGAACTTGAGGGTTCTGCTGAATCAAGTGATGAAGGCTCAGATCTGGATGTGTTGAGTTAGTTTAGGACTGGGGTGTTGATCTGTGAGTGCCTTGGGTGGGGCCTGGATGAGGCTGGTGGACCTATTGGGAAATGTCTTTTGTGTGAAGTGTATCATTGGGCATGTGGAGGTATTATTGATATGAGAAAATGCTAAGTAACTGATTTACTATCTGAAAAGGGATTTACTATTGGGGAAATTGAGGGAAGAAGAGACTGAACATAAACTGCACCTATGGATGAGGACAATGGGGGATGGGGAGGGGGCAGAGGGTGGGGTAGGAACCTGGTGGAGGGGGGAAGAAATGAGGAACCTTTGTAATAATATGAACAATAAAGATTGATTTAAAAAAATAAAAAATAAAAAAAATTAAAAAAAATAAAATTTAATAGGCCAAAAGAAAAAAATAAATAAATAAAATAAATAAAAAAAAGAAAAAAGAAAAAAAGAAAAAGAAAATACCCCCAAATCAAACTGATACACACACCAACCACCATTTTTCAGAGCTTATGTTTTTTTTTTGTTTGCTTGTTTTACTCCTCATCTGAGGACATGCTTAAGAGAGAGGAAGGAAAGAGGAAGGGAGGGAGAAGGGGGGGCATTGATCAGATGTGCCCCAATGAGGAATCGAACCGGCAACCTTGGATGCTCAACCAACTGAGCAACTCTGGCAGGGCCAGAGCATATGCTTTTAAATGGCAAAACATTCCCATTATCCCCTGACTTGTACCTCATGAGGGAGCCACAAATTCTGAAAGCTGACAGGAAGAGAATGAATAGGAACAACCCAAATCCCTAAGCCATGGGTAATGTACGCCAACTCCTGAGAGCTAGTATCAGGGGTAGGGAGGACCCGATTCCACAGGGCTGTGAGGACAAAAGGTAAAGTGGGAGCAGCTTACCTGTTCGCTTACTACAAAGTTTGTCTTTAATATTGTCAGCCTCTCGCGAAAAGAATTCAATGAGTTCATCCTCATATTCCTCCACAATGGTCTCACACTGCAACCCCCGGAAGACACGAGTGAGAGAAGGCAGCAAGAGGAGAGAAGAGAACCAGGACATTAATCCTGTTTTCCACTCGGGCTCTCCAATAGCTCCCCTCATTTCTAAGAACCAGCTACCCACGCCCATAGCTCACCGCAAACTTGAGTGTGCCTCGGATGTCCGAATCAATGCGGATGCCCTCTAGATTCACACCATTGGGTTCTCCGTTCCGGTTCACTACACGTATGTAAATGTTTCGGTGGGTGTCAGGGTCAATCTGTTCCCCGTACTCCTTCATCCGGTCACATACTTCCTCCAGCAGCTCCGTGAGGTGGGCCTCTGAGCGAGCATAGGGCACCTAGAAATGTCCTCAGCCTTGGGTCACTCTCTTCTGCCTCTGTGCATTAGTAATTTACATCATCCTTTTCCTTCCAAAGCTAGCTCAACCAACCTAGTGTAAAAAGCCTGCCTTCTATAAAAACAGTATGGGGTGTTTTTTTTTAATTCCAAAGTGTTTTCAAATACTGTATGTAGTCTTATTTTACCCCAAATACAAGCCCAAGATATAAAATTAGTGCCATTAGGTCCAAATTATATAAAGATACCTCTTTGATATTAACCCTGGTCAACTATGTGTTCTTTTCCTTTGAATTCCTTTAATTTTTATGGATGTAAGATAATGATTTTTTTTTTGTATTAAAATGAGACTAAAACCTGCCCTCAGTAGAACATTAGAAAGGTAGCATAGGTTTTGAAAATAACTATTAAATCATTTCACAAGCATTACAACATTTACATTTCCTTATTGTTCGTTAGGTACGACTTTATTATATGTGCTATGTTTTCATCTAAAATAAATTTCCTAAATATAAGAATGAGAACGTCTATTTCTTTTTTGAGTGAATATGTGCATACCATATTGCCACCGTGAAAACATGAGTCGCATGGATTAAGCATGCGGAGAGAGGGCTGATCAGGGTTCTGGTCTGCTAACAGCTTCTTCAGCAGAAGCAAAGTGGCAAGGCTTGGAACCAGGAAGCAAGTGCACAGGGAATGTCTCCGACCTCTTCCAAATGAGACGGCCTATCTTTTAGATACCTCCCTGGGTCAATGTTTTCTTCATTTCTATTAAACCAAGCTCCTTAATTAATTGAGTCCTCATTCAACGTTAGCGTGAGCTACTTTATTTGGGCTAACAGTAACAGTTACCTCCACCACCGACTGGCTGCCATCGGGGTTGATTCGGAAAGAGCCCATCTGAATGGTCTTCTTGGGATCCACCTGGGCAATTTCCCACTCTAGTTCGTCCACCAGGGCCCTGCAAGCTGGCGCGCCGGGAGAGGAAGTGGAGGGAGGGGGAAAGAATCAACCTAGGGATTTCCATTCATTCTGGTCCAGACTTCGGGTCTCACGTCCTCCCGACGCTCTGCACTCCCCACCCTCCTCCTGCGGCTCCTCTTTGTGTCTTTACCTCCACAGTGCAGGTCCTGGGCCGTCCGAGCCCAGGCAGCGCCCAGCAGGGCCCCCACAAGCAGGGCCAGCCGTCCCCAGCCTCTCATCTCTAACGCAGTGGGGCCGCTTCACCTGGGTTTGGGTGGAACACCGCGTAAACGTGAGGAGCCCTTCCGTCCCCCACCACCCCTCTTCCCAAGGCCTCCACAGGCCTCCGTGTGGGCTCTCCTTTCCAGGAAACGGCCGGGACACACAGGGGGCTCCTCGGGGCGGCGCCGGAGGCCCCGGGCTGCCTCGGGCAGTGGGTCTGGGCTCGGCCGCGGGCACCGTGCGGACCGGAGGCCGGGTGTCCGCCTCGGCGTCCTGTGCGGGGCTCACCGCGCTGAGGCCGAAGGCTGGGGGCTGAGCGCGGACCGGGGGCGCGGCCGCCGGCGGAGCTGCTGCGGGAGCGGGAGGCCGCGGGGCGTCCGGCGGGGAGCGCGCTCGGACCGCGGCTGTGTGGCTCCCGCTGCGGACCTGTACCCGCCTCCCGCCTATCAGCTGCCTCCTCCGCGGGCCGGCCCTCCCGAGGCCCCGCCATTGCCTCCGCGCCGCCCACCCCGGCCCCCGCGCCACGCACCCACCCCGCCTCTGCTCCCGGGGCCGCCGTGCGCGGCCGGACGCCGCGCGGTGTCTCACGCTGGGTCCGGGCTGCAGCACCGGCTGCGGGAGCGGGGTGCCCGGGCTTCCCGGAGGCCGCCTGAGCAGCTCCCCGCACCTCAGTGGGCGCCTGAGCGGGGCTCCGATCCTCTGCGGGGCCGGCCACGCCAGCGCCGGACCCCGGACCCGCTCTCTAGTCTCGCGCGAACAGGCAGGTTAGGAACGACTCCCAGCAGCGAGGACCGGGGGACCGCAGGACCCGGACCTGCGTGGCGAGCAGCTCCACGTGACCACTAGGGGTCAGCCGAAGACCAGGAGCGGCCTGCACCCGGACAGGCCTGGAGGGGGTGTGGAGGCGGCCCGGCGCTGTGTGCCGGGACCTTCAAAAACAAAGGTGCACTGTGCCGACAAGAAGCCCGTTTCATATGTATTACTTTTGTAATACTTTCAACAAAAACAAAAAGCTTATTTCAATGCCCTGGAAACTACGTCTCCCAGGGAGCACCGCAGCACCACGCAGACCTTTTGTTAGTAGCCACAGGTTTTAAGATATCCTGGGACTGGAGTTTGTCAGCTTCTCCACTCTCCTTCCACAGTTAACTGGTCAGTCCTACTCTACGTCTTAAAATAAACAGCATTGACCTAAGATTATCCAGGTCAGACATTAATTGTACTCCTCCAATATCCTTAACTTTGGACTCCACAGAGCTTTACCTTCAATTCTAGGTGGGAATTTAAAAGCCTTAGATTTTTCCCAGTTATAATAGACAACACAGAAAGGAGATGCTCCAAAGAGCATCCCACACTCGCAGGTCTCCAATGAGATAGATGACAGTCAATAACATTTTTGTGTTTATTTTATAAAACATGCAGTTTAAAACAAAACTTTAAAAAATAACAAGAAATCAAAATTTGTAACAGGAGAGTGGAGTGGATGGAAGACAGATGCTTTTCAGCTGTCGGCAGGAAGGAAGCCAAAAGCCAAGCTTTGTCTTGGACTCAAGGCCCTTTTGGCAACGATGGTGTTGGCAACACTGGTTTGCTAGGGCCACGAGACTGTATGCTGGCTTCCTGGCATCCTTCAAGCAGCCATAGACTTGAGCTAAGTCTTGAACTGCTGTTGTTGTAACTGGTTACTCTCCAGTACCTAGCCAAGTAGGAACTGGAAGTTTTGGTTCCAGGATCTTCTTTGCCTGGATATTAATCACCCAGGATATTTATTAAGAATACCAATTACTTTTCATTTAGACTGTTTTTTGCAAAGGATGTGAAAGGAATCTATCTGCTAGACCCTTTGCAACAATTCTGCTGCATTCCAGTTCTATCAATAGCACCACCTGTAAACCCTGAGCAGGTTCAATTCCGGAAGTAGACAGGGTATAGCCAACTTAGGAAGCTATCTCCCAGTTCTGAGGCCACAGAACACTGAAGGGAGAGGCAGCAGCTGGTTGGGAGAGGATGAGGTCAGAGTGCCAACACTGAAGAAAAAACAGCTGCATCTGTCAGAGATAAAACCAAGAACATTGACTCGTAAAGTGAGTGGAGAAAAAGTACTTTGGATTCTTCTTATGAAGGAAAAATGCAAGGGAAAAGAGGGCTTGGACCTACCCCAAACATTTTAGACCTGGGCAAGAGGAGAGTCTCAGTAACAAAAGCTATTTCACTGATAGTTGGATTAAGTGCTTTGTAAATTGTTAAGTGCTTTGCAAGAATATAAGGTAAGGATGGTACTGTTGTTAACATCAGCGTCATTATTATTATGGTCACATATGCAATCAAAACCCACCCAGTTCAGTTTCCCTTGTCCCATCCCAGGCCTTACTCTTGGGACTTGTCTGGCCCTCAGGCTCAGGCACCTTCCAGTCCATCTTTCGGCCCTTCTCATAAAGGCCCTTGAGTACTTTGTGGAAGGACTCAGGCTCAGTGCCATTTTTGCTTAGCTCCAGATACTTTTGGTAAAGCTGAAGGGCTGTGCGAGCATCTTCAATACTGTCATGGGTCTCCCCTTGAATCTTTAGGTCTGGGGGAGGTAGAGGTGGAATAGTTTGAGACCTAGCAAAGGAAGATAAGAACATGTCCCCTACTCACATCCCCTATTCCCAATAAGCAATAAAAAACCTGACTGCCTTTAAGGGAAGAGGCCAAACACCATCCCTGGTGTACTGAAGGGATACTGAAACTAATTAAATCCTTTAATAACTTTACCACCAACCCGGGGTCCTTTTTACTCCCTGTGGCCTCTCCCACACTTTTTCCTGCTCTTAATGAGCACCACAAGCATCTTTAAGGCAGAGCAACTCACCTAGAAAGTACCAAGCAAGGAATCGCAGGGAAATCATTCGCTTTCGGGGCATGTGAAACAGATAGACAGTGTCAAGGACTTGGTCCTTGGGCACCTGTCAGGAATAAAAGAATGGAAGGCTGAAGACAGGGGATCCTAAAACTTCCCATTCCCCAAGGCACAATGTATACCCTGAGTGGCCCACACTCAAAGAAGACTCTTAAAAGAGCCCTGCCCGAACCATGAGATTGATGACCCGGAAGTCCTTCTGCAGACCATGACCCACAAACTTGACTCCAATGTCTATGAGAAAACGAAGCTTTAAGTACGTAGACTTGAGAGTTGTGAGGTGCTTAGAGGAAATCTTGGCATCAAGATCTCCTGGCTTTATTCCTGAGTACTGAGTCAAGTAATCCACGACCTAGGGATAGAAAAAAGGACAAGTCTCTCAGGAAGTGAGGTACAATCTCCCCTACCACTCTTCCCTGGGTTCTAGAACACTCTACATAAGCACAGGGTCTGTGCCACTTGCACTGCCGTATTCTAATACCTGCTCCTGGGTAGAGATATAGTCATCAATGAACGGGATCCCCTCGTTGGGTCCCTGGCCCCGAACACAGGTAATTCTAGCGACTGACATCTGACTTGGTTTGATTGTAGACTTGGTACCATCACTGCGTAACTCTGCTTCCTCCTACACAAGAAGAGTTAATAAGGAAATCAGAGAAATACTTATGACTCTTAGCATCCCCAGATTTCTGCTCTAACATTCTACACTTTTTGGTCTTGGTTACCTCATTAAGGGTGACAAATTCAGCATCCAGGCCCACCAGGTCCCCAATCTGTGGCATCTCATTCAGCATCAGTGGAATAAAGGTAGTGTGTGTTTTCCGCTGCTTCCGTGCTAGTGAGGCTTCAGCCATCAAGACACTCGCCTCAATAGGGTTCTTGACTGAAAGGGAGAATCCAGAAGATATATTGCTGGGGGAAGTGACTGGGGGAAGAAGGGGAGGAGCCCAAAGTAGCTGACCAGAGACCAGGTCTATACTGTGATCCCTCAATAACTAAAACATATGAATAAAAAGATCATGTTTGATGAACAAAGCAGGTAGATGGAATAGGTAAATAAAAAATGTGATAAGGCCCTGGCTAGTGTTTCTCAGTGGTTAGGGCGTAGCACATACCTGGGTTGCAGGTTCAATCCCCAGCCCTGGTTGGGGCGTGTGTGGGAGGCAATCAATTGATGTGTGTCTCTCACATTAATGTTTTTCTCTGTTTCCCCATCCCTCCTTCCCTTCCACTCTCAAAAGTCACGAGATAAAATATCCTTGGGTGAAGATTAACAACAACAAAAAAGAAATGGGATTATGGAAAAGTCAACAGAAAGGAAAAAATAAGATTTTCATTTTGGACTTTAGCTTAGAAAGTCTATAAAAATAAAGTTACAATTTAAAGACACCAAAAAGGGACTTAATAAGGAGTTCATTTCCAAAAGAAGAGATCTTCACTTGGAGATAAGAATGATTAGACTCAAAATCATAACCTTAGCTACCTGATTAGACTTTTTCCCAACACCTCCTTCCCACTATACCTTCAGGATCTGCAGCTTCTAAATTTAAGGCCTTATGAGTAGACTCTCTGTAGTACCCCTGAAACATTAACACTGGTTGCAGATCTTAACTTTTTTTTTTAATATATATTTTATTGATTTTTTACAGAGAGAAAGGGCGAGAGATAGAGAGCTAGAAACGTCGATGAGAGAGAAACATCGACCAGCTACCTTTTGCACACCCCCTACTGGGGATGTGCCCGCAACCAATGTACATGCCCTTGACTGGAATCGAACCTGGAACCTTTCAGTCCGCAGACCGACACTCTACCACTGAGCCAAACCGGCTTCGGCTTAACTTTTTTTTTTTTTTTAAAGCATGCCTCTTTTTTATTGATAGACTGATTTATTTTTTTTTTTAAGAGAAAGGGAGGAAGAGGGAAGAAAGGAGAGAGAGAGAGAGACAGAGAGAGAGAGAGAGAAAGACTGATTTGTTGTTCCACTGATTTATGCATCATTGGTTGCTTCTTGACTAGAATTGAACCTGCAACTTTGATGTATCAGGACTAGCTCTAATCAACTGACTACCCAGTAAGGGCACAGATCCTCATCTTATAAAGCTACTTCCCAGGTCTCTTCCTGAAGACCAATCTAAACTACCCACACCTTGGGTCTACTCTTGTACAACTTACTGTGCAGATTGTATTTAGAATTAAGATTTCTCTTGGTGTAATAAAGGATAGCAGGCACTTTCCAATTCATGTCAAACTGCACAGCTTCATGCTATAAAAGAGAAAGCAGTTAATGGCCTACATGCATGCTCCTTTTCCCCAAATTAGTCAGAAGATAGGACTCTGGTGCTACGTTTAGCTCTATTAATACTTATAGTTCTTGAGAACCCCTCCCTCCCTCCTAAATTTGTCTGGCATTCTCTAGGGCACTGAGGATGAGGATGCTAGGAAAAGGGGAGATGCAATGTGTTACCACTAACCTTATCAATAGGTTCAATAAGAAAGTCATTGAAGAGATACCACTGCTGGTGGGTAACGCCCTACGGAGATACAGAGGAAGACTGATGATGCCAAAGTGATGGGTGGACCACTCTGCCTCAGACTGAAGGCTAGGACAGATCTTGGATTCCATTCTGGCCACCACCAGGAGTATCCCTGCACTGTATTCCATCACTCACCTCCTTGCGTTGGTGGTAGGTCTCTCCAACTTTGATGTGAGCCACCAGGCTGCCCCCTGTGCGTGAGTCCAGGATGTGTACCACAGTGGCCATCAGGTCATACACATAGACACCATGTTCCTCCTCTGCCCTGGCTGGGCCCCACTGTGAGGGGGGGTACCCAGGCTGCTAAGCTAAGTTTCAGGATGGGGAAGGAAGGGGAATGGGGGTAGAGGACAAGGATCTTGGGGTATGGAATGGGGCACCACGGAGGGTTATCTCCATCCTAACCCATCTATGACTCCCAACAATGAACTGAGTGATTCTGGAGAAGCCCACGACTGGCCAACGCTCAGCTTTGCTCCCTTTCTTTTTTCTATATTAAGTTCCACCTTCCCCCTGCCCTGCTTCTGCCCCATCCCTCTCTTCCTTATTCCCCCTCCTCTTCCCAATTTTCCAACAACCTGCATCTCATCCCCATCAGTCCAATTGCAAACATCCAGTCCTTTGTTCTTGGTCAGCTTCATGCGGATAGAGAAAGGAAGCCAGACATTCTTCAGCTCCTCAATGGAAGGACACATCAGCATGCCCTCTGGACTCCCTAGTTCCTTCCTATCAGGACAGGAGAATTAGAAATTTGTTCTGAGGAGATCTAGCCAGTGGCAAGAAGAGCCACTGGTAGTTCAATACTTTGGTCACTCCCAAGACAGTACCTACCAATCAGACAAAGCAAGCTCCTTGTTCTTGGAGATTTCCCCACTGTGCTTCTTTATTGCCATCTTGAAGGCAACCTGAACACAAAAGGAGAAAATATCTGATTCTCAGGAATATTAATCATATGTGGAAGTCAGTCAGAGAGGAAGAAAATTAAAAAGTATTCTTTGGGGGTGAGGGGGAAGAGACTCCTACGACCCTGTTTCCAGCCTTGGTCCTTACCTCAGCCTGCATTCTCCAGAAATCAGCTTCTTTCACGCTGTTCACTTCACAATTGATGACAAGAATATCTGGTAGGTGGCGGATGTTGCGTGTCTGAATCTGAGAGGATGAAACAAACGAGGAGTAGCAGGGAGCCTACAGGGAAAGAAACCTGGAGAGGAGCCCTAAGCCCTGGTTCTGCATCCTCAAACTGGGGTTCTCCCCACTCCCTGTAGATCCCTGGATGCAGTGCTCACCAAGCCCCAGATGAGACATGGCCGAGTCCCCACCACATCAGGACTTTAGTCCATGCAGCAGCCACTCACCGTAGGCTGGTACTTCTCACAGTTGTCACACCAGGCCTGAGTGTTCTGCTCCAGGCAGATGCTTCGTTTTAGCACCTGAGCAAAGTCACAGTTCTTCCCGGCTTTATCTGCAGGAAAACTGGAAACTTCACTCTAGGTTCTCCCTTCTATCCTCTATTAATGTTAGTCCCCCAACACCCTCTCCTTGATGTTACAGGACATTGGGGGAGTTCCCAACCCCGCTGCAGGGTATACCACTGTTGCTACCCTCAGGGTAGGAGAGTGTGAAGAGCAAAGTAGATGAGGCCCGCACGGTCTCACTGCCACAGCGGCACAGGCTGCAGTTCTCCATCTCACAGCTGAACAGCTGTCCAATGACAGAGTCCCCCGATGAGCAAAAGCTGCTAAGAGTGGGGAGGGCGATATATGCACACCGAAGGAGTTATGAGACCCGGTAAGTCACAGAGGGGCCCGTCATGTAGATTTAACTATTCCTGTCCCAATTCCATACCTGCTTGCAGCACCTCGATAAGCCTGAGGTACTTCCAGCTCCTGCATGTCCTGATGCAGCTGAGTGAGAATGAAGCGATTCCACCTCTGGATAAGCCTGGCCAGATTGCCCTTGCCTGAAGCCTCATCTGAGTCAGCCAGGATCAGACCAAGGGCTGAGGCCTCGGGAATGGTGCGGAATGCCCGGAGAAAATTACTGCCCTGAAATCCAGGAAGTGTGTTGGTGGAGAGGTTATTTTTTCTTGTGGCCATTTGCACAAAGATATCTGTCTATTACCCACCTCCCTCCCTCTTTTATCATTCCAGGTCTCCACACACTGACCTGACAAGGGTCACCTCGGGAGAGGTCCAACATGTGGAAAAGGAAGCCCAGCTCACATGCCAGGCAGAACTCCTTCTGGCAAAGGTGGTTCTGGATTAGGCAGCGAACGGGCTCCAGGAAATAGAGCACCTGGAGGGAAGACAGGAGGAATGACATGGGCAACTGCTGTGAGGAGGAGGAGCCTGAAAGGTAAGTAAGCTGGTGGAAATCCAAAGCAGGAGTCCACTGAGAAGTGGAGCTCACAGAGGAGCCTTGAAGTGTGTGGGGTAAAAAAGAACCCTGGCTGGTCTGGCTCAGTGGATAGAGCATCGGCCTGTGGACTGAGGAGTCCCAGGTTCGATTCCAGTCAAGGGCACACGCCTGGGTTGCAGGCTCAATCCCCAATAGGGGCATGCAGTAGGCAGCTGATCAATGATTCTCTCTCATCATTGGTGTTTCTCTCTTTCCCTCCTTGAAATCACTAAAAATATATTTAAATAGAAAGAATGGGAACTATTTTATTTATTTTTAATAAATTTTATTGATTTCTTTACAGAGAGGAAGGGAGAGGGATAGAGAGCTAGAAACATCGATGAGAGAGAAACATAGACCAGCTGCCTCCTGCACATCCCCCACTGGAGATGTGCCCGCAAGCCATGACCGGAATCGAACCTGGAACCATTCAGTCCGCAGACCGACACTATCACTGAGCCAAACCGGTTTCGGCAGGAATCATTTAATTTTTTTTATTTTTAAAAATATATTTCTTTATTGATTTCAGAGAGGAAGGGAGAAGGAGAGAAAGATAGAAACATCAGCCAAAACCAGTTTGACTCAATGGATAGAGCATTGGCCTGTGGACTCAAGGGTCCTGGGTCCGATTCCGGTCAAGGGCATGTACTTTGGTTGCGGGCACACACCCAGTGGGGAGTGTGCAGGAGGCAGCTGATCAATGTTCCTCTCTCATCAATGTTTCTAACTTTCTATCCCTCTCCCTTCCTCTCTGTAAAAAATCAATAAAATATATTAAAAAAAAAAAAAAAAAAAAAAAGCTACATCAATGATGAGAGAGAATCATTGATTGGCTGCCTCCTGTATGCCCTCTACTGGGAATCGAGCCCACAACCCAGGCATGTGCCCTTGGCTGGAATCAAACCTGGGACCTGCCGAAACCGGTTTGGTTCAATGGATAGAGCGTCGGCATGGGGACTGAAAGGTCCCGGGTTCGATTCCGGTCAAGGGCATGTACCTTGGTTGCGGGCACATCCCCAGTAGAGGGTGTGCAAGAGGCAGCTGATCGATGACTCTCTCTCATCGATGTTTCTAACTCTCTATCTCTCTCCCTTCCTCTCTGTACAAAATCAATAAAATATATTAAAAACAAAACAAAACAAAACAAAACAAAACCTGGGACCCTTCAGTTGACAGGCTGATGCTTTATGCACTAAGCCAAGCCAGCTAGGGCAGAGGGAATCATTTTAAAGTGGGCCTGGTTGGGGGCCTGGAAAAAGAGTTGTGGGGCCACAGAGAAGAAAGGCAGCAAGCACGTTCAAGTCACAGGAATACCCATCCTTACCTGGATCATGCAGTTACAGTAGGCATTGGGGATATGGGGCTCCAATCCAGCAAACAGGGTCTTATTGTAGTGTTTGAAGTCAAAGTCCTCCAGCCCTAGCTTGGAGTATTTGATGGTTACCTGAGGCAGAAACAGTCTGAGCAAGATGAAGAGATCCTCAAAGACCCCTAACCATAGTCTCCCCAAAACCTCCCTCCAGAGCCCAGCACAGTAGGTAAGAGCTTCCTGATTGAGTCCTTCATCTTTTCTCATATGACCCCTTTCCCTGGGAACCTTCCCATACATCCCAGAGGGGTCCTTTCTTGGTATTTCCCAGCACCTTGCGGTATTTCTTAGAGACCATGTGGAGATGCGGCTCCTCTTCCCGCCCTATTGGTGATTCAGGGACCTGGCTGAAGCTGTCAAATTCACTGTCTGACTCCTTGAGTCGGTAAGGAATCTAGAATTTTTAAAAAGAGGTAACCTTGTTGGATGTCTTCAGCATCTTTGTTCCCACAACACTGAAACAGTTAACCTAACTTCATAGGGTTTTCACCATTCACTGCTTCTTTTTATTCCCACTACCTGCTCATCACTGCTGAACAACGGGGTGGCTTCCACACAGGCTCCCCACATTCCTCTGTCCAGTATACTGCTACCACAATAACCCTCCCAGAATGCCCCTGTCAATGGCTCACTTCTTCCATGAGGCATTGGATTTCAAGGCCTCACAACCAGGCCCACTACAACCTCAATCTTTCACTATTTCCTGGGATAACAGCTGCTCCTGCCAGGCTGGTTGGTATAATCCCCACTGGGTACCCATTTTGCAATTATGCCTCTTGAGACTTTACTAACACTGCTCTCTCATCTTTAATACCTTCTGCTGTTACTATCTACTTACCCATCTCTCACCTCTCCAGCTCAATATTTAGCTCTTTCAGTATGCCTTCCCTGACTGCTCTAGCCCAGAGTAAAATTTCCTCTCCCAACAGCTGTCGATGAATGCTTTTAACATTCCTCTAGCACTTAACATAAAAATTTTTGTTATGAATAGGTCTTATTTTCTCCAACTAAATACAAATTTCTCAAGAGCAAGGACTCTATCTTTTATGTCTCTGAATCTTCCCTAACACCTAGTGTAGTAGCTTCAATTTAGTAGGCTTCAAAAAAACCTTACTGACTGAAAACAAAAACTACTGAGGACTAGTAAAGGAAATGACAGGAGAAATGCCAGTGAGCTGGGGTGGGGAGGGCTAGCCGCCTCCCTCTGAACGTACCTGATTGCGCAGCCTGGTGCGGGGGTTGGGTGCATAGCCAATGAAGCCCACCTTCTTCATGGTGCGCAGGATCTCTGCATCCACAGGAGGTGCTCGCCTGCAATGTAGTTTATAGTTCTGAGGCTTACAGGTGGTTGTGTCTACCCATCTAATCCCCAACCCCTAAGGGGCCAGATATAAAGAAGATACTGAAGGTATACAAAAAATCAGAAAAGAAGTAGAATAATAATAGGACTTGCAGAGAATTCCTGTATCTCAGCCCTTTCCCCACCCCACTTTTGGCCCAAATATAAGGTGCAACCTGGGAGCTGGAGCAGAGTTGGCAGCAGGCCAATCAGAGAGGAGCGTGTCAGTGGTGAGCGGGACAGGGATGAGGGAAAGAGGCAGCAGGTCCTGGCTCCAGTCCAGAGGAGGCAGTGAGTCCACAAGACAGGGCAAAGCAAACTCGGTCTCCCGGGAGTAGGGGTTAAAGGAAGGCTCAGGGGAATCAGTCCAGAGGTGTACACAGCCCTCAGAATCGCCAAAGGCCAGGGCCTGCTTGCTGGCTGACACATCAAACGTCATCAACAGAGGCCCCACAGGATTCACATGAAAGATGTCCGCTGGGTTGGCCAGGCCTGTGGGTTCGCAGAACTGGCATTGCCCTAGGAGGGAGGAGGAAGCCACTGAGCGAGCCCTGGAAGATGAAGGACACCGTCCTCTTATGCCCTTCCTTCCCTCTTCCCCTGGCGTCAAGGAAAGGTCCACGTCTAGAGCTAGAGAGAATACCATCTGATGCCTTCCCATAAACCATAGGGAGGTTTGCTATACAGCAAAAGGCAGTTCTAAAGCTGTTTTGCCTGCTCCACCTTTTACATTTTCCTGTGTTCATCAAACACAGGGGGACAGCAAAAGCTTTAATCTCTGACCAACCCTAAGTGAGACCAGAGACCCCACTGACAGGTTCCTTCTTTCCCCAACAAAGAGGTTCCTGGGAGTACACTCCCTCTGGAGCCTCATTCCCCTTTGTTCATCAGTCTCTCTTATGACATCCCCTTCATACCTGACTGGGAGATGATAGCAAGACGAGAAGTGTATGTAGGGATGAAGCGTAAGAAGGCAGGATCCACGTGTACTTGAAGGGGCGTGATGGCGCGCATCATGCGCAGATCATACACCTTGAGGAAGCGGTCACAGGCGAGGCCGGTGAGGCGGCTGGAGAAGCCACAGCTGGCCAGCAGGTTGCCGTGCACATCAAAGTCTGACAGACTCCCTGAGAACGCATCGAACTCGTGCTCCACCTTAAAAGTACGAAGGTCTCGCAGGGAAATCTGAAGAAGAGATAACTTGGTTATCTACCAAAGCTGGCATCAGGAAGAGTACCTGCCGCCTACTTGACCCTGAGAGGATCCTGCGAAAAGAACGAAGGCTTTAGTTCTGGGCATTCAAGAGAGAACCCAAAGAGAACTCACCAGCTTGCTTCTAAGGTCCCTGGTTATAACAGAAAACATCAGGCAGGAAGACTAATCTCATAGTATAATGGCTACATAGGAACTTCATTTACTGCTCCCTCCCCTCAAACTACAGGCGCAGCACGGAAAGAAAGACTGAGCCCAGGCACGTAACTGGTGGGAAGAAAAGAGAACTCAGCCACCTTGCCAGATGTATGGCCACAGAAGAAGAAGCGGTTTGTCTGTCTCATGATGGCGACTCCAGGTGTCTCAACTGCATACTGGGGAGGGAAGGAAAAACAGTGAGACCCCTTCTTCCCACAAACCAGAAGAACAGGAAGGCAACACACACATCTTAGGCGTGTTCCAGCTCCGGTATGACCCACCACTTCCGCCACAATAACCTCAGGCTCTGCTTGGGCCTTTCCTGCCCCATGCTTGTACCTTCTGAGTCTCCTGGACAGTGTTAAGGTCTATCTCCAATATGTGGTTCTGCAGCCCGCCAACTAGCAGCATGCTGCTGTCCGTCAGCAGGAGACTCTGCATGTCCTCACTCTCATCCAGCCTGTGGGAGACAGGAAGGGCTCAGGGACCAGGGCCTCGAAAAGCTTCAGTCCTTTAGCCTTCCCATTCTATGCGGAACCCTCTTTCCCAGTCCAGAGCTGAGAAGCCACTTACAGATAATCGAATATAATGAGGCCCCCACGGGCCATATACTTGAGGTTGTTCTTGGTGAGAAAAAGGATCCCATTCTCCAGGCTCTGGATCTGCCGAATGTCATCACTGCTATTGACCTGAAACGATGAGTAGCGCTCCAAGGTTGGGCCAAAAAATGAAGTGGCATGACCCTGTCGGGGACAAAAAGATACGACGCCCTGAGTGGAGAGCCAGGGCCATCCCAATATACATTTCAGGACCTAGACATCCTCAGCTTGTTTCATTCTTGCTTCCTGGCCTTTCTGGCTAGCAGTGACTAAGGCCTAATAGGCACCAACCTTAGTGAAAAACACACTGAAAATACTGTCTTTTGTTTGCTTAATGCTTCACAAAGTGCTTCTGTTACCTCTTCCTCGTTTTACCCTCACAATGGCCCTCCTGGGAAGGTAATAACTCAGTGTTCAGAACAGTGTCAGGGACACGGGTCTGACCCTCCACTGGCCATCTGGCTTTCTTATGGTCCACAGTCAAGTCTTTGTCTCTTCGGCCATTAGGGAAACATGGACTGTGGGTCACAGACTGGAACAGAGAGAATGTGGCTCCTATTTCATGCACTCCTGGCTTCTCTCCTGTCTCTTAGCTCAGATCCTCTCTTCATGTGCTCCCCTTCTGACCACTCTTGAAACATGGCTATTCCCAGCCCACTATCTTCTCACTCACTTGTCTTCCTAGGTTATTTCATCAATTTTTAAGCTGATAAATCCTAATTTCTTTCCCTAGCCCAGACCACTGCCTCAAGCTTATACATCCAAGTACCTACTATACATCTCTCCTTAGATATGCCAATAATAACCTCACTCATTACTGCCTAAATTAAATTAACCACCTTTACCCCATTTCAAATCTTAACAGTACCATGATCTACCCAGTGGACCAAGTCACTGGTAGTCGTCTTGTTTACTTCCTAAATATTTCCCAAATCTGTTCTCACGTGTACATCTCTATAGTGCTTCATTCAACCCTTATAGTATTTTATGTGAACTACTACAGCAGCCTGCAAACTGATCTCAAACAGTCCTACCTCATCCCCCTTAAATCAAACTGTACTGCTACGTCAATAATCCACCAAAGTTGCAAACCAGACCACATCATTCTGGATAAAAATCTTTGGTGGCATAGTCCTGGCTGGTATAGCTCAGTTGGTTAGAGTATCATCCTGTACATCAGAAGGTGGTAGGTTTAATTCCCAATTGGGGCACATACTCAGGTTGCAGGTTTGATCCCTAGTTGGGGATTGTGCAGGAGGCAGCGGATTGATGTTTCTCTCACATGGATATTCCTCTCTCTCTCTCTCTCTCTCTCTCTCTCTCTCTCTCTCTCTCTCTCTCTCTCTTCTCTTTTTCTCTCTCTGAGAGCAATCTTAAAAAATAATTCAAAAACAACAACAAAAAACCCTTTGTTGGCCTGAAGGATCCAGTCCAAACTCCTTTAAGACACAAATGGGGGCCGAGACCTGTTTGGCTCAGTGGATAGCGCGTCGGCCTGAGGACTGAAAGGTCCCAGGTTCGATTCCGATCAAGGGCATGTACCTTGGTTGCAGGCATATCCTCGGTGGGGAGTGTGCAAGAGGCAGCTGATCGATGAGTCTCTCTCATCGATGTTTCTAACTCTCTGTCCCTCTCTCTTCCTCTCTGTAAAAAATCAATAAAATATATTTAAAAAAAAAAAAAAAAAAAAAAAAGACACAAATGGGGCCAGGACCGGTTTGGCTCAATGGATAGAGCGTGGCTTGGGAACTGAAGGGCCCCGGGTTTGATTCCGGTCAAGGGCATGTACCTTGGTTGTGGGCATATCCCCAGTAGGGAGTGTGCAAGAGGCAGCTGATCAATGACTCTCATTGATGTTCTGAACTCTCTATCTCTCTCCCTTCCACTCTGTACAAAAAAAAATCAATAAAATATATTAAAAAAAAAAAAAAAAAAAGACAAATGGGGACCTAGTTGGTTTGGCTGTGGATAGAGCATCAGCCTACACTGAAGGGTCCCAGGATCGATTCCGGTCAGGGGCACATGCCTGCGTTGCAAGCTTGATCCCCAGTGGAGAGCATGCAGGAGGCAATATCTCTCTCCCTCTCACTTTCTCTCTGAAGTCAATAAAAATATATATTTTTAATAATAGAAACAAATGGGGCCCTGGCTGGTTTGCTCAATGGTTAGAGTTTCCACCTGTGGATCGAAGGGTCACAGGTTTGATTCCCGATCAAGGGCAGATACCTGGGTTGCAAGTTTGATCCTCAGCCCCAGTTGGGATGGAGGCAACCAATCCATGGGTCTCTCTCATTCAATGTTTCTCTCTCTCTGCCCCCCTCCCTCCCTCTCTCTAAAAAAAAAAAAAAAAAAAAATCAATGGAAAAAATATCCTCAGGTGAAGATTAATAAAAAGATACAAATGGGGTTTTCTAGGATGTTTTTCCCCCCAGATGTCTTTATGACTCCCTACATCCCTTCTACGTGGTTTAAAATGGGCTTCCTGGCCGAAACCTAGGTCTCTACTCAAATGTGACTTTATCAGAAAGTCCTTCCTGACAAACTATCTAAAATAGCAACACCTCCGCCCTTCATTACCTCAACATCTTTATGCTGCTTTATTTTTCTTAAAGATACTAAGCAACACCTGGTATGTTATAAATTATTATGATTGCCTTTTAAGATGCTTATTCCAAAACTAGACCCCAGAGCAAGGCCTGGCACCTAGGAGCTCAAAATACTTGAATGAAGATTAACTCTTCAGCTTCAGCTTCCAGTCCAGTAAACCACAAAGGTTTGTATAATAGTTCCTGCACTCTGCAATCACTGTGCTGTGTGATGTACTAGGAATTCTTGTTGATCCCATTCCTTTTGCCAAGACAGCGTTTTCCTCTCTTTTTCATCTGATTTCTACTCATCTCTTCTTAGGACTCAGTTCAGGTGTCACTTCCTTCCGGAAGTCCTGACTCTCCTTTATGCTCACTAGCACCTAGGAAATATTTTTCACACTGGCATTTAATTTATATCCTAAGTTCATAATTATTAAGTCAGACAGTTTAGTTTCTTCTAAAGTACTACAAATTATCTGTTTATATGTATTTTTTTCCTCATTGTCCTGTAAACTTGAAGGCAAGGATTATGTTTTATTCAGCTTAATTTGCTGAGCTTACCATAGCAGCAGATACTGTCTACTGAAATGAATGTATTACCATAAAATTTTCATTCTTTCTAATGAAAACACAATTCATACCTTATGGAAGGTAAATTAGTAAACCAAGACTAGCATGTTATTTCTTCCAAAATCTTTGGGCTCCCTAGCACACAGGCAGCATGCATACACATTAAAAAAAAAAAATCAACATTGGTAACTGCTCTCAGAAAGATTAAAATCAGCCAGAGAAGACAAAATCATTCCATATAAGTTATATAGGAACATGCATTAATCATTTTATAATAAAAATGGAGCTGAAACCGGTTTGGCTCAGTGGATAGAGCATCGGTCTGTAGACTGAAAGGTCCCAGGTTCGATTCCGATCAAGGGCATGTATCTTGGTTGCGGGCACATCCCCAGCAGGGGGTGTGCAGGAGGCAGCTGATCGATGTCTCTCTCTCATCAATGTTTCTAACTCTCTGTCCCTCTCTCTTCCTCTCTGTAAAAAAAAAATCAATTAAAGAAAAAAAAAAAAAAAGAGGTTGCATTAGAGATTGGATTTGGATGGCTACAAACTAACAAGATTAATCAAAGCATGGAACGGGCAAATTGTGGTAGAAGTGGGATGCCTTCTAAAAAAGGACACCTAGCCCTGACCGGTGTTGCTCAGTGGATAGAGCATCAGCCTGCGGACGGAAGGGTTCCGGGTTCGATTCCCGGTCAAGGGCATGCACCTTGGCTGCAGGCACATCCCCAGGTGGGGGGCGTGCAGGAGGCAACTGATGGATGTTTCTCTCTCATCAATGTTTCTAACTCTATTCCTCTTCTTTCCTCTCTAAAAAAATCAATAAAACATATATTTTTAAAAAATAATAAAAATAAAAAAAGGACACCTAGGTAACTCATTTCTGGGTCCCATAGACTTTCTTTCTCCACTCCCTTCCTCTTAGATTAAGAGACCCAGCTAACTCTCATCACTTAAGCTGCAAAAGCAGCTTAAGCCAGATATAGAACATTCAATGTCTCCTTTCAACCCTTACAAGGGGGTACAGTTCTTACCCCATGGCTTCCCACCCACAGCATCTCCTCGTGCAAGTCAAAGTGGGAGACGGTGACAGGCACACCCACTTCAGCCACCACACTGTGCAATTCAGAGTAGACACCTTCCATTATGTGCACTGACTCCTGGACAGGAAGAGCCTCCAAGGCCACTCCTTCCGGGTCCAGCTCCACATTCTGTAGCAGACTTGGGTTCAGGTGGGCATCCAGGACAGGGTCCAGGGCAGAATGCATGGCTGGGGCATACTCTGCCAGTCCGGGGTCCAGACCCTCGAAGTTCATGATGATTGCAGCAGATCAGACCCGTGTCACACCCTACTTTGCCACAGCCCCTTTAGATGCCTGACCCCAACCTTCAGCAGGACAGCACCAGTGGGCATCCTGGCCTGTAAAGGGAAAGAGGTAGCTAAGTCAAGGGTAGGCTCGGGAACTTATAAGTAGTGTGTTATGTGTTATCTAGAGGAGGAGGAGGGAGGGAGGGGACAGAGCAGGAAGAAAGCGGATGGGCATCTGGGCAGAGGTGGTAAAAGTATCCTCCCTCTTCTTACCTAGGTCCTCTGTACTCCTCTCCCACTCCCCCTTACTACCTAACCCAAACCTCAACTTCCTTTCCACTTCTCTTCAGGCCTGTTCACTTGCCTGGTTCACCCCTGAACCATCACTGGAAGGAGCAGCAACTGCAGGGTAGGAATTAGGTAAAGGGGCTGAGGGGCTAGGTTCCCAGAGTCAGGGCAGGGGGAGGCAGGGGGAGGAGAACAAGAGAAGTCAGTTTCCCAGAGTCCTCTGTAATGTTACCCAGGATTCTCGAGGGGGGAAAAAGAATGGCCAGTTACCCACAATCTGGGCGGGGGGGGGGGGTGGGGGGGGGGAATAGGGTAGCGTGATGGAAAGGACTAGCTACCCAGAATTCCCTGGAGGAACCAGAGAAATCAATTACCCAGAATTCTCCCCCTGCAGCGGGGAAGGGGGGGGTCAGGGCAGGGGTCAGACGTTTTTCCAGGATGCTTGCGGGGATTGGGTCATTACCAAGATTTCTCCATGGCGGATATTTTAGAGCGCGTGGAATTAAAAGGAGTAGGGGGAGAGCCAGCGCCGTCAGCTCCGTGGGAAATTCCAATTTCCCCAGTTCTCCCCCGCGCCTCAGGCTCAACCGAACCTCCGACGGAAGGAGGCGGGTCCCCCAGGCGCAGCTGCCAATCATGAAGGGCTTGGAGCCCACCTTAGCCAATCCGGAGGAGCCAGGCTCCGACGCTCCGCGGGCAGGCCGGTGACGCAGATCTGGGCGAAAACAATACTACGGCGCGCCGGTGGGGACAAACGTCGTCAGGATCCAGCCGCGGTCGATGTTGTTAAAAAGTAACCCCTTGTCTTTTCGTCTTTTTTGGAGCGAAACTGGAGGCCGCCGGTTCTGAAGCAGAACGCCCCTGCTCCTATAACTAAGACATTATCACCAGGAACGCCCCAGGCGAAGCCCTGGGCTCCGGCAGCCGGGCTTTCCCCCGGCGCGGGGCCCACCCCCTCTTTGCCAGGGCGCTCGCGAACTCCTCCGCCTCCCCTGACCCCGTGGCTCCCGAAACTCGCCGGCATTTCCTGCCATTTCCAGCTGCGGGAGAGAGACAAGGAAGCCGAGCCCCGCTCCTCACAGGCCGGAGGAGCTGCGTCTTGTGAGGGTGTGAAGGCGTCCACCTGAAAACCCGGCTGAGCGCCCGACCTTCCCCGAGGCCGGGTGACAGTCCCGGGAGCAGGACCCTCAGCTGGCAAATTCCCCAGGCTCTGGACTGACTATCCGTCAGCGGGACGTGGGCACGCGCACATTGAGACATCTGTCTTCCCCAAACTTTTAAAAAAAATATTTTTATTGATTTTCTAGAGAGAGGGGAAGGGAAAGGGAGTTAGAAACATCCATGAAAAAGAATATCAGCCGAAACCGGTTTGGCTCAGGGGATAGAGCGTCGGTCTGCCGACTGAAAGGTCCCGGGTTCCAATTCCGGTCAAGGGCATGTACCTTGGTTGCGGGCACATCCCAGTGGGGGGTGTGCAGGAGGCAGCTGATTGATGTTTCTACCTCATAGATGTTTCTAACTCTACCTCTTCCTCTCTGTAAAAAATCAATAAAATGTATTAAAAAAAAAAAAAAAGAAAACATCAATCAGCTGCCTCCAGCCCGCAGCCCAGGCATGTGCCCTGACTGGTAATCAAACCGGCCACCTCTAGGTGGAAGGGATGATGCTCAAACACTGAGCAACACGGGCTGGGTGTACACCCTCCCCCCCCCCCCCAGGCATGTTTATTAAAATTAGAGACATTGAGCCGAAACCGGTTTGGCTCAGTGGATAGAGCATCGGCCTGCAGACTGAAAGATCCCGGTTTTGGCGAAAGCCGGTTTGGCTCAGTGGTAGAGCGTCGGTCTGCGGACTGAAAGGTCCCAGGTTGGATTCCGTTCCATTCCGGTCAAGGGCATGTACCTTGGTTGCGGGCACATCCCCGGTAGGGGGTGTGCAAGAGGCAGCTGGTCGATGTTTCTCTCTCATCGATGTTTCTAGCTATTTCTCTCCCTTTCTCTCTGTTAAAAATCAATAAAATATATTAAAAAAAAAGAAAGATCCTGGGTTCGATTCCGACCAAGTGCATGTACCTTGGTTGTGGGCACATCCCCAGTGGTGGGTGTGCAAGAGGCAGCTGATCGATGATTCTCTCTCATGGATGTTTCTAACTCTCCCTCTCTCTTCCTCTCTAAAAAATCAATAAACTATATTAAAAAAAAAAGAAATGAAACTTGGAATAGATCAGTAACTTAAAATAAAATTAGAGACATTGAAACAAGCAAAGGCCTAGGATAGAAAAAGCACCAGGAGGGAGCCTAAGCGGGCTGTTTGGGCTTTAAAAACATTATGGGAAAGAAGTGAGCAAATGAAGGGCAGCTGTCAGCGCCCGGGAGAGTCAGCCTTGGGACAGGTTCAGGGAGTTAGACCACTAGCCTTGGAAGAGCTGCGCCCTGGTTGTCAGTCTGGGGGAGACCCTTAGGGTTTAAGAGAAAGAATTCACTAGAAAAGGAGTTTCAAGGAACCACCCCACCCCACACACACCTGTTGCCACCACCCATGTTGCTGTCCCAAAACTGATAGATTTATAATAGTATCAACAGTTATCCTAAGGGATTCTCCGGGCCTTACTCTGAGGTTTAACTGCTTCAAAATGGATCCAGGTTGTGCAATGTCTCCTAGGCACATTAGCTCAATTTTTATAGAGTATCTCCCAAAAATATATACACACATTTTGAATAATTATTTTTAAAAAATATATATGTGTGTGTATATATATATACATACATATATATATATGTGTGTGTGGGTGTGTTTTTTTACAGAGAGGAAGGGAGAGGGAAAGAGTTAGAAACATCAATCAGCTGCTTCCTGCATACCAGGGATGTGCGCGCAACCAGGGTACATGCCCTTGACCAGAATTGAACCTGGGACCTTTCAGTCCTTAGGCCGACGCTCTATACACTGAGCCAAACCGGTCAGGGCCATTTTGAATAATTATAAAGGCAGTGTTTATTAAAATACATTTCTTTTTTTCTTCTTATTTTTCCCCCCCAATTGATTTTAGAGAGGAAGGGAGAGAGAGAGAGAGAGAGAGAAACTTCAATGATTGGCTGCCTTTTGCTCACCCCAAACTGGGGAAGGAGCCTGAGCATGTGCCCTGACCAAGAGTCAAACTGTGACCTCCTAGTTCCTAGGTTGATGGCTTAAAATACATTTCACTTACAAAATTGACCTATCAGCTGTTAAAGTGTACATTTTTGGGGGCACCCTACATATGTATATAAATAAATATTAATCCTTACCCAAGGATATGCTTTTATTTTAAAGATAGAGGATGGGAGTGAGAGAAAGAAACATTGATGTGAGAGAGAAACATCAATTGGTTGCCTCTTATATTTGCCCCAACTGAGATCAAACCTGCAACCTTTTGGTGCACATGTTGACACTCCAACTGAGCTACCTGGCCAGGGCTAGCTCAGTTATTGTTTGTTTGCTTATGTTTTTATTTGTTTTAGAGATAGGAGGGGAGAGATAGAAACATCAATAATGAGAGAGAATCAAAAGCCAGCTATTGTCTTCACTAGCAGAGAGGTGTGGACAAGCAGCCCGGAATGCTGGTGAGCCTTGAGCTCTGGCAAAGGTCAGAGCTGTGCACTCACTGTTTAGTCCAGACAATGATAGCTGAAGCACTTCCCCCCCAGACAGTCATGTAAATCCTCACTGATAAGATAGTCTGCCTGTGATCTGGGGGAGATAAGAGATCAACCGAAGGACTTATATATATGCATATAAGTACAACCAATGGACAAAAAACTCTGGGGAGGGAGGGCATGTATGGGAGGGGGGGACAATGGTATATGTACAAAGATAATAATTTAATCAAAAAAAAAAAAAAAAAAGGTAATCTGCCTGTTACTGAAATTGCCTGCCTAAGGCTGTAGGTGTACCCCAAACTGAATAAAAGGATGGCAAGGCCTGAGCACAAACTAATCCTTCCTCTTGCATTGGGCTCCCACCTGGCCCCCAATTTCCAAATTATTATTTCTTGTCTCGTCTCTGCCCCTCTTCCAGAGCCCAAACCCTGAACCCTGAACCACATAGGACGTGGGTCTTCACACAGCTGCCTCCTGCACATCCCCTACTGGGAATCGAGCCTGAAACCGGGGCCTGTGCCCTGACTGAGAATCGAACTGTTACCTTCTGGTTCATGGGTTGTCGCTTAACCGCTGATGGCAGGGCCTAACTCAGTTGTTATTTTTTTTTCTTCAATATACTTTATTGATTTTTTTACAGAGGGCAAGAGAGAGGGTTAGAGAGTCAGAAACATTGATGAGCTGAAACCGGTTTGGCTCAGTAGTAGAGCGTCGGTCTGTGGACTGAAGGGTCCCGGGTTCGATTCTGGTCAAGGGCATGTACCTTGGTTGCGGGCACATCCCCGGTAGGGGGTGTGCAGGAGGCGGCTGGTCGATGTTTCTCTCTCATCGACATTTCTGGCTATCTCTCTCCCTTCCTCTCTGTAAAAAAATCAATAAAATATATATTAAAAAAAAAAAAGAAACATTGATGAGAGCAAATCATTGATCAGCTGCCTCCTGCACAGCTCCTACTGGGGATGTGCCTGCAACCAACATACATGTCCTTGACTGGAATCGAACCTGCGACCCTTTAGTCTGAAGGCCAATGCTCTATCCACTGAGCCAAACTAGTTAGGGCCTAACTCAGTTTTTAAAGGCCACA